CCCGCCCCGACCTCCCGACCCCGCCCGGGTCCAGGTGACTCACCTGCCCGCCGCCACCCCCGCGTCCCCAGAAAAGTTTGCCCGGCCGCGCTGAGCCTCCCGACCCCCGGGGCCGGTGCGAGCGGGCCGCCCCCCGCAATCCCAGCCCGGCCCCGCCCCGACAGTTGACCCCACGGTGCCCCCTTTCCTGCCCTGCCCGCCCCCCTCCCATCAGGGCAGTCCCCCGCCCCTCGCGCTGTCCCCCATCCCCCACGGGGCCGTCATCGCCCCCCCACCGCCTGCCCCTGTGCGGAGGGTGCCGCGTTCCCGCACTATCCGCGGTCCACCCCCGCAGGGCAGTAACCCCCCTCCTCACTGTCCGTCAGACCCTTTGCGGGGAGCGGGGTGGGGGGAGCGGCTCCGGTCTCTTCCCTCAGGCAGGCTCTCCCAGCCGGCCAGCGAAGGCATTTTCGGGCGGGGGGGCCCTCGTTTACCTGCTGAGGGGGGTGCCTGAGCACTCATCCATAGGGAACACAGGCCCATACACAAGTCATTAGGCTTCAGGGGAACCTCACGGGGACCTGGCCCCTGCCCTCCCCTTCTGCCACCCCTCCCTAGCATCTGTCCCTTCCCATCCTTGGGGATGTTGCTTGTCCAGGGCACTGCCTGGGGCAGCCCACGCGAGATGGGCCGACACCTGCAGGCCGTCGACACCCTGGGAATGAGCAGGGACCTCGTTAGAGAAGGCAGGGGACACACAGCCGGCAGACTCAAGGTGCAGCTCCTGCCTTCCAGAGCCTAGTGAGTCCCCTAAGGAATGGCACAAAAGACTTGGGGCAGCCACATGTCCACCAACAGAGGATTGGTCTAAAGCGTTAACCTAAACCCGTGCAGAGTCACCCCAAAACCGTTTTGCAACAATAAGGTAGAAACTAGGTGGTGTGGGCCAGAATGACCACAATATATCATAAAATGAAAAAAGCTGAATGATCTAATCTTATGTTTAAAAATGTGTGTTTCCACAGGCCGAGGAGGCAGCTGGGGGCCTGTGGGTTCCTCCGGGCTGTGGGAAGTCAGGGCTCCTCATTTTCTATGCAATGTAAACACCAATCTCAGAAAGGCTATTTCCAACCATAGACAGGAGAGAAACCTTAGGGTGGCTGGTTCCACCCTCTGCCCCTGCTGGGGGTGGTGGGTATTGAAGAAGCCAGGGGCCTGGGCAGCTCTGGAAGAGAACTTCGCTGGCCCAGCCCCCCCACCCACACCCCAACACCAGTGGTCTGCAGAAGCTTATCCACACTCCTGCCCCCACCTACCCTCTCCGCCTCCCACCATGGCAGGTTTGGGTATGGACAGGGGCAGCAGTGGCCAGTGGATGTTCAAGAGGATCTATCATGGAGGTAGGGGCTGCAGGCGGTCCTGGTGGTCGTGAGCTGCCTCTCCAGGGTCAGCAGGGATGGAAGGAGTGGAAAAGGCCCCCCCCCACACACACACCTAGGATGAAACTGTTTTCCTGTGTCCTTCCCAGGGAGAGACCAGCTTTGTTGACAAGATCAGGGCATTGCTCTGCGTAACCAAGAAGTGTGGGTGCTGGAGAAAGGATTTATTACCCTGTTTGCCATGTGGGGAGCTGGGCAGTTGTGTCTGTGAACTCAGGACTGATGGCCACAGTTGGCCTGGATGGTCCAGGGCCAGGTCTCTGCTTCATCTAGTTGCGTTGTAACCACAGGAGATCATCAGTGGGTCCAACCCCTTCATTTTACAGGTGAGGAAACTGAGGCCCAGGAGATAAGGGTCACTTGGCAGGTGTTATGGATTGAAAAAGAGGAAGGCCCTCCACAAGATGGATTGACACAGTAGCTGCAACAATGGACTCGAGCACAATGACGATTGTGAGGATGGCACAAGACCAGGCAGTGTTTTGTTCTGTTGTGTGTAGGGCTGCTGAGTCGGAACTGACTCAACCACACCTAACAACAACAACAACATGGATTGAATTGTGTCCCCCAAAAATACATGTTGAAATCCCGACCTCTCTACCTGTGCAGGTGGCCCTGTTTGGAAATGGAGTTTTCTTTTGTTATGTTAATAAGGTCATACCGGAGTAGAGTGGGTCCTAAACCTAATCACTCTGAATGGCTCCTTATAAAGGGAACAGAATAGACACAGAGAGACAGGCAGACAAGGGGAAGATAGACGCTATGTGAAGGAATACCCGGGGCTGCCTACAAGGAGGGAGCCTCCCCTAGAACCAATGCCCTGATTTGGACATCTAGCCTCCAGAACTGTGAGACAATAAATTCTTGTTCTTTACAGCCACCCACTCATGGTATTTGTGTTTCAGCAGCCCTAGGGAACTAAGACAGCGTTAAGAGCTTTGTTCAGATTCTCAGCAGGAGGGTCCTCCTTCTCAGTGGTTATAAAACCTTCCTACTGACAGCACCCAAAGGCTGTGGTTGGTCCTGCAAGCTTTCAGGTGTCAGAATCAGTTGTGCACTTCTCAGGGGGCACTGAGCATCTGTTAAGGGTGATGGAAAAATCTGGAAATGAATAGTGGCTGTGGTTGCATAACATGGTGAAAGTGACTACGGTCCCTGAACCATACATGTGAAGAATGTTGAAATGGCAAATGTTTTGTTATATAGAGACTTGTTATTAGTTCCTGTCAAGTCATTTCCAACTCATGGCGACCACAGTTTAAAACAAAAATCTGTTGTTGTGCTCATTTAAATTGTAGATGAGGGCTGAGGTGGGGGCAGGGCTGCTTGTTTTTTTTTTTAAGTTTAGTTTAGTGAGTTATTATAAGATCAACACTCTGTTCCCACTGTCTCTCAAAAGCAAGAACTGCCAGCCCCTAGAAACCCCTGCATGAACCCGGGCCCAGTTCCAGTGCCTCTCTTCCCCCAAAAAGCAACCCTTCTCCTGACACATACAACCACTTCCTTTCGTTTCTTTCTTTTTTTTTTTCAATCAAGAGTACACCCATATACACCATAGCTCAGGTTTTGCCTTTTTAATGTTTCAATGTTTTTTAATGTTATGTCTTCTCCATCTCTACTTATCTACAGCCACCCCTCAACCCTTCCTCTCCCTTACAAGGTATCTGCTGCCTGTTGGGCCTACTGCAGGCAAAACTTCCAGTGCTCTGAATATAATGTATCTACTGCAGGACAGAGCCTCCAGTGCCCTGGATACAATGTATCTGTTGCAGGATGGAGCCCCAAATGCTCTGGATACAATGTATCTGTTGCAGGATGGAGCCCCAAATGCTCTGGATACAATGTATCTGTTGCAGGACAGAGCCTCCAGTGCCCTGGATACAATGTATCTGCTGCAGACCAGCCTCCAGACCAAGGCTCTCAAGCTTTGGATTTGCTGACTGCACACTCATGTCAGCAGAGCACTCTCCTCCTGCCTCTGTTTCCTGGAAATGGGCACCTGGAGCTGGAAGCCTGATGGGGTTCAGGCTCAGTCCTCACAAGACTCTTAGGGGTTGTGTGTTCTTTCAATGGGATGCAAACAACATCTGCTTGTCACTCTTTGTGATATCCGCAGCCCCTAGTGCTCATGTCTAGATTTATTGATTCATCCAAAGAAATCAATCAAACTGGTTGTTGTAGAGTTGACCCTGACTCACAGTGATCCCATGTGCATAAGAGTAAAACTGTGCTCCATAGGGTTTTCGGGTTTTCGATGGCTGATTTTTAGGAGCAGATTACCTTGGCTTGCTTCTAAGGCACCTCTGGGTGGACTCAAGCTGCCAATCTGCCGGTTAGCAGCCAAGCTTGTTAACTGTTGGCACCACCAGGGACTCCTTACTGATTCCTCAGGACATGCAAAATGGTGATTTCCTAACCTATCGTTTATTTGCCTGCATGAATTCATTGAAGTAATTTTCCATGGATTTGGCTATCGAGGGTGCAGTTCCTGCACGAAAGGCAGGTAAACGCTTGCTGCATCTCTCTTGCCCGTGCTGTTAAGGTGATTCCAACTCATAGAGACCCTATAGGACAGAGTAGAACTGCCCCCATAGGATTTCCAAGGCTGTAAGTCTTTATGGAAGCAGACTGCCACATCTTTCTCCTATGGAGGGAGCAGCTGGTGGGTTCAAACCGCCAACCTTTTGGTTAGCAGCTGAGAGCTTAACCACTGTGCCACCAAGTCTCCTCCTGCATCTCCCCAACTGAGCCGTTTTCAAGATATTGAATTGGTTTGCTATCATGCTCCAAAGGTTTTTTAAATGTCCTTACAAGCTCGTGGACTTAAACAGATGTGGTGGGCTTCGATCAGCTGCCGTCCTTATCCCTTTGAAAGCCAGCTGTCAGCTGAGCCTGACGCCCTCGACAGACCCTGGTCAGCTCAACAGCAGCTCTGCAGTGTGGCGTCACATGCCGGGCAAGCTGGATGCTGGGGTGGCCGTGGACGCAGTCACTGCTCTACAGGTAGACTTGCCCATGGCCCAAGCTGCACACCACCACTCTGCAGTGGAATTTCCAGGTCACTACAGGGGGACGCTTCAGCCAGTTGCTGGCCGGAGGACTGTGTGCCCACTAGGCTCGTCTCCTCCCAGTCACAGGCCTGCTGCCTCGAGGTCCTCCACTCCACATGGGCCTAGGAAGGATGTCCCTTCTCCTCCCAATCACAGGCCCGCCTCCTCAAGGTCCTCCATTCCACATGGG